TATTGACTTTCTTTAACGTTTTAATTAACAATAAATTCAAGTTTTTTTGAGTGGCAAAAATTACTTATAATAAAATTAATATATAAACTATCAAATTATAATGTTTTTATATAATCGTTTTTTTCCCAATTGGCGTCAAATTATACTCTCATAAAATGATTAATTTACAACCCGAGTAACATGTACATATGTACTTACAATACAAAATAAAAAAATTAAATCTTAATAAAATAATTTTTATATGAAAACACTTGGCGCTGCTAAACCTAATAAGAAAAGCAACATTAAGTAAAAAATTTTTAAGTAATAAATTTTATCAGAAATTTAAATTAAATAAAAAGCGCCAAGTGTTTTTATATAAAAATTATTTTATTAAGATTTACTTTTTTCATTTTGTATTGTAAGTACATATGTACATGTTACTCGGGTTGTAAATTAATCATTTTATGAGAGTATAATTTGACGCCAATTATTGACAACAAATATTTCATACAAACGATATACACATCACTTAGGTTGAATAACATAATTTTTATTTAACTTGACGCCATTTATTAATATCAAGTCATTTATAGAAATAATAGTAATATACATTGTCACGTGCTCCCGCGAGATAGGTAACTCGCGCGAGCACGGATCAAAACGAAAAAAGGTGAAATCGCGTAGGATTTCGAAAGGGAGGATGACGGCCCTCCGGATTTCGTCCCTCCGGCGACCGACAAGGAGCAGCGACGCGAAATTTGGGTGCCAGACGTGCTCGGCGGCACGTCACTCGCGAAACGCGAACTTTCGACAATGACACGACAGCGAAGGGCGATCGCCCACGACGCTAACCGAGATCCGCAATCGGGCGCTGCTCCCCGAGGTCGATCGCGCGAGGGCCGGCCGGCTCTACCTAACGGTAGAGGGGCAGGGCGGAACTAAGGGCGGACTGAACGACGGACGGCGGGATGGTGCTGGCCGGACGAAAGAATCTTTACGCAGTATTAAAGAATAATAGTAACAACACCGTTTATTCCCCGCGTGGCAGAGCGGTATGAAGCAATAGCCAAAGAAATGATACAGTACGGTGATAAAAAAAAAGAAAAGTAACGGAAGCGAAAAATAATCTGTTTGGCAATGATAAATGCCGATAACTCAGCGGCGCGATAATTTTCGACGTGACAAAAGAAAAGAAACAGTTCTAGAAATTCGGCCGGTGATTAATAACGCAACTACAGTCAGCATCGGCGCGATAATACAAAGAAAACGTGGCTCAGTACGACGCGAGTACCGAGGTCTAACGACGACCGACAATCTCAATCGTAAATCCACGCGTCAGACGCAAAGGCAAAAACGAAAGACAAATACAAAATCACTTATGCCGAACGCGACGAAATGGCATGCGACGACACCAAATAATATGACGAGGAGTACTCGCGGTGCGAGTACTCGTGCACTTACAATAACGCTCGCACACAAGTGTGCGAGGGCTTTGCGGCTCACTCCCGGCGACGATCCCCGGGTGGCTCGACGTACGATTCGCGGCACTCCCGATAGTTCACGGCACAATTCGCTAAGAATCCTCGCGCTTGAGGACGGACGCCGATACGCCAAACCAAAGAAAAGTCACAAAATACGCGTCATCAAAGGGGCGCACGCGACGAAACTCTAACACGAAAATGGCGTTACCGTCCGCAGAGCGCGAGCAAGATTCTCGATCCGTCCGTGGCTTTACACGTGATAAAGAGGGTCACCTCACCAGCACGATCTCCTTCTCGTCCTCGCGAAGTTCCTCCGAGCCGGCAGCAACTCGTCCTTCTCTCTCTATCTCTACGGCGCTCGCTCGCTATGTCGCTCGCTCACCCTGTCCGCTCGCTCGCAAGGTGCGCACGCAAAAGCGGCGTCGATCGCGTTCGATCTCGGATCGATGCCTGCACCTCCAGCCCGGGGGTGCGCAACACAGCGGCGCAGTCGGCCGCGACCAATCACGGCGCCGCGGGGGTCCTGCCGTGGCACGGGCGTAATCAGGTGACTTGACGTGTGGCGCCCTCGCGAGGTCGCCCTATATCCGGGATGTGGTATCAGGCGGGCTCGTCCTTCGCCCTTGTACTCCGAGACGAGTTGGCCAATTCGCCCCGGCAGCTCGCGACGATAGCCCCGGGCCCTGGGGAAATCGCCGGCCGCATCGCCCTTCGTGGGCCTCAGCTCCAACGCCCGCCTTCCCGGTCGCGCTCCTGGCGGATCTTGCATACTTGCGCGTTGTCACGCGCTCCGCGTGTGCGAGCTCTGCCATCTGCTCACCGCGTGCCCGGTGCGTGCCCCCTTAGCTCCTGCGCCAGGTCGCCGGTATTCCGCCGTCAGCGACCTTGACTCCTTTGCTTCGTCGCTCCGTTTGTCCGGTGAGGTGCCGCGGTACATACAAGAGGTTCAAAGCAAATTAATAAAAATGCACGCGTTTTAAATTCGGGCCTCCCGGAGATTTCGGTCTTGTTTCGACAATGCCGCTGCCGGTCCGGTGAAAAGGGGCGCGAACCCGCGCCTTGTGACGGCGGCGGGACGCTGCTCCGCCGCAGCGGACTGCGGCGTCACAACATATCACCGAAATAAAGTTAGTTAACATCAAAGTACAAAGTACAAAGAAGGATACCATTTAAGTTTTAGCTTTTAAGAAAATTATATTTAATTTGGATACTAGTTTTCTTTCAAGGAGCGCGGTTACACTTGACACCCTTTTTTTACTTTTTTTTTAAGTCAATTTTGTAATTTGTTTAGACACGAAAACTCAGAAATACAGAATATATAATGGAAAGAATAAGTCCTTTGTACAAAATATCATTAGCTCAGTGTTGGCGTATAAGTCTGCTGTTCTAGAGATCTCAGGTTCGAATCTCGATGTGTTTTCAAAAATTATAAACCTGCGTATAAATTGTAATTAATAAAATAGAAAATATGCGGAATAGTAAACACAAACTTTAAACTTTAAAAATAATAATATGTAATAATTAAATTTAAAAAAATAAATTGTTTTTAATTAATTTTTTTCTCAGTATAGGAATCCACATGGATTATTACATAAGAATCCACATGGATTATTATATAGGAATCCACATAGATTTCCACATAGGATCTGAATTTTTGGCCCAAATTCCCATAGGAAATGATATGGAATCCCGTATGGATTATCCAAATGAATTTTCCATATGGATTCCCACCTGGTTTTTTTCAACAGGGAATAACGCGCACTCGTTCTCACATTCATACAATCACGCTTTCGCCCCTGATTACATGTATCCACGATCACGCGATCGCACTTACGTCGCATATCGCGATGCTACAACGTCGTCGGCCGTCGAGCACTACAATCATTATTCGCGGATACAATATTATTGAGAAACACGTTCTAGTTAAGGTCGTCGGCCCTCCAGCGCACGTACTTGCGTAATCTTACGATAAAAAATTCGCATCCGGTTAGTTTCGCGGAATTTCCGTCGCGGAAAACGGCGAGGTTTAACCGACAGTGGTATGCCGCAATCGTGTTATCAATTAATTACGCGTTCGGTTCTCTAACTCGCAAACGCGGGACTCTAACGAAAAGACCTCGAGAAAACCAAGAGAGACTTCGAACAAAGACCTCGGGATGCCCGCGGGAGCTCTTTATATATCTCCCCCATGGACATAGGAATATAAGGGGACAGAGTACAAAGTTGCGGGGGGGAAGCCACTTACGGGACGGTGCGATGAGGTAACTTGCGAGGTAACTTGATTGGCTGTTAGTGTCCGTGTGATACACACATATATAATAGACCTATAATAGACCGATTTTTGCTATAGAGGGGGTGAACTGGGCACAATTGGACACAATTCCCCCCCCCTCGCATTTTTGGTTCACTCCCCTCGCCTAAGTTACGACTTTGTACTCTGTCCCCTTATATTCCTACGTCCATGA